CTCTCTCTCTCTCTCTCTCTTCCGTGTCTTTGTGCGGTCCTTTCGAACGATCAATTTCCCCTGAACCTAAAGAATAAATTCTGAACTATGTTATTGTGTGTCTGCTGCCTGTTGCAGGACCAAGTGACGTGGAGCAGGCTTCAACGACGCCTGATTCATTTGCTGAGCCAGGAGGCAGAGAGGGAGATCATATCCATCGCACAGCAGGAGATGCCTCCATTGCAGCCCGATCACACATTCCACCCCATGACCAAGTTCCCTAGCTGCAAATTAAAGACAATCGCTTGTGTTCGTCGCACATCGCAAACGCTATCTGCTGACAATCTGCCCCGGCCTTTGAGGGACGGCAGAAGCCTTCGCGAAGATTGCAAGCCTCGGGCGCAGATGGCTATCGACAGATTTATTTCGCGAAGGGGCGGTTTTTGCTCCAAGGGGATGGATGCTTCCCTCAAGGACGTTGGCCTCGAGGCTATGTGCCCGTCTCATTACGGGAGGACTGCTCGGGATTATGCTGTGATACCACGTACGGTTTTTCTGTGTGAAATTAGCTAGGACCTAGGCTTGGGGTTTACATGTTGGGACTTTCTTGTTTGGATTTATTGTCATCGGGAATATTTACACAAAACTTGTGAGTGCCGCTCTCAGTGAATCAGTGAAGTCGTAAATCTACCATCAGAACGATTCATTAAAGCCCTTCTTCTCAAGCTTGAATTGAAGCATTTCAAAGTTGTCATTGAAACCAAATAATTCTACCCTAAACTCAGAACCCCTAACCCATAAAGCCAGAGACAAATAAATAGCAGGACCACCTCGGACTTTATGTGTCGATATCTTCGGCGAACTGAAGATGATCTGAAGGAGGCCCGCCAAACATGAATGGGACATGCAACCACTTTCCCTGAGTTGCACAGGCCTTGGGTCAGATGAGATTCAAAAGTGTGGGGGTGCTCTGCGACGCATCTCCCAAGGCCAAGATGGATGCCACTAGCTTGCAACAATAAGTGACACTGCTTGCATCTCGCTAGAAATTTGCCACGACTGTTGCGATGCCGAGATCTGGCTTCCGATCATAGTGACGCCGAACAAGCTCGGGCTTGCGACCCTCCAAAGACTCAGTGGTTTGCTCCCCTCAAACGCGAGCCCCGAAGAGAAGATGGAGGTCGCCGCCATGGTCGCCGACTCCCGAACACGCAATGTGGTGGGCGAGACAAAGCACCAGAAGGAGCTCAAGAAGAAACTGAAGCTTGGTCTGCATTTGAAGCATCCTGCCACTGCTGTGATTTTGGGCTCATATCAAGACTGAATGCACATACCCAGGCCCAAAGCCCTCAGCTGCATCAAACAAGATCGCCTGGCTAGCCGGCAAGAGTTGAAGGCTGTGGTGAACATCCTCAGCCACGTCGGCATGTCTATGGATTCCTTCTTTCCAAGGAATCCTTTGAAGGCCAAAGTTTGTGGTAGGGAGGACAGGCAGGTGCATACAGTCAACAACGAGAACCTCGCCTTCATCTCTGACAAAGAGTCCGGGCAGACTCGCTGGGACGTTCCCATGCAGTCCGCCTCGGAGGACCTCCGCTTGGTGTTGTGTGCCGATCAAGGGTCCCCCCTCTTCACCTGCTACCAGTTCTTAGCCCACTCCGGAGCGAACATTTCCTTGATCAGGGACGAGCTGCTGCCCGGTCGCAATATAGTTTTCGTGTTGCCCAAACCAGAACCTCCCAGGGACTTAGACTTCCCGACCCGACCCCAAAGCCAGGCACAAACTGCACGCACATCAAGGAAGAGTTACCTCCTGCAGCCCTGCCGTGAAACGCCTCCTCGATGCAGTTACTTAGGCGATTGGGGTTTTGATTCTGATTGATTGCAGTATAACCGAGAATCTGCCCAGGAATGACAATGCTGTGTGGATGGCTCTTTCGGGCCAGGAAAACCCCGTGGCATACGCAGGGGTTTGGGAACCTGCTCACCGAAGCTGGTGAGCGGTACATGCAAACAGCCACATAGCTGCACTTTTAGAACAAGTCATGGGCATGTACATTCTGCTATTCCTGCTTGCAATCTAGGCGAAGCCGGGCGACCTATTGATGCAAATGTTCCAGCGAGATATCTTGAAAGAGAGTCTTGTCCTATATCAAGCACCAATCAATCAACTGACCCCAGTCATGATGCAGTACTGCATCAATGCCAAGGAACGATCTGGAGGAGACCAGCGACGAGCAGCTCAACTTCACCAGAGTCATGGAGGTCCTCGGCAAAGTGTGCAAGCCGCTGTTGTGCATTATGGTTCGGGTGTTGATGTAGTTTGGTTCAGGTTGAGGCTGGGGTGTGATTACATAGGTTAGTTAAGGGTGAGTGTGATTAGTACTTTATCTCTGAGGTTCAATGCTGAGACCTTTTCTTGGTCCCGCTGGTGCAGCTTTGCACATACGGCGAAACGATTTCAGATGACCGCCTCCTTGCTGTTGATTTTCTGGAGTGCAATGGAGGCTTCAACGCAAGCTATTAAAGTCTAATCTAAGATTGAAGCGCCCAAAGGTGTCGTGACATGAATCTATACCAGATACAAACTTGACCTGTTGAATGGAGGTGGGAAAAAATCCCTTCAAGTGCGAGAATGAGATTGCCGGGCAGCAGGCGAAAAACTACGACAAGACCGTTGATGCCTGTGTCAAGGCCTGCCTGCGACAGCACGCTACCTAATCCTAGTTTACACTCTCGTGCAACTCTGAGCCCCTTGATTGAAGCCAGTCTTTCAGCATCCTGCAAGCCCAGGTGCTCACCAGCGAGGAGTACTTTGCCCTCTTCCGGATTGCCCGGAACGTCCTGGAACCCTTCAGGGTGTTTGGTCTTGAACTTGTGCCTGGACTGCAATAATGACTTCGGTTTGTGGCGTGCTTGCCTGTCTGCTTTGTTTCCCTTGCGAGACTTGATACGGAAACTTAGCAAAAATGCACCAACCAAAAGAACGCCCTCCGGGACCACACGCTGAAGATGAACGGTGAAACCCTTGAAATCGCCCTGGCCGACCTGGTCTCGAACACCTTCAGCAGCAGCCGTCTGGGCATGCTCCCAGACATCGCAATCTCTGGAGAGGCCGGACTTGCAATCTTGAAGTTCTGAAGCTGTTCAGCTGTCCAAGTCTCCGATGACATATCTCTTTCTATTTGCGGCTACATAGGACATAGTCCAAAGGGCGGGTGGCTTCAGTACAATCCATTATTGATTGAGAATCATGATTCAACTCAGAGCGACTGCTTGAATCGGCGAGTGCATGTGCCAAGTTCGCACCTCGAAAGTTAGAACCATTGAGCAACTATCCGATTAATTATGTTCTATGGCAGCCAGCTCTTCAGTTTCATTATTCCTATAATATCCCAGGCTGAACATCGCACTAAACACGAACTGGACGAAACAAACAAAGAAAAGAGAGAGAGAGAGAGAGAGAGAGAGAGAAGAGAGGCAGACGGAGCGAAAACAAAGAGGCACGCATCAATTCTTACGTTCTTGCTCATCCTTGAGCAGGAACTGAAAGTCAAGTTTCGCAGAGCCGACTCGCTCTGCAGTGCTCTGAAAGAGGGCCACACAATGCTGCTTGCAAGCATTCACGAGATGCTGGAGTACGTTCTCTACCTTCGCTGCTCCCCGGCGAAGGCGGCAGCTTTGCTGTCGACGGTCGAGGACGAGACGACCAAGGCCACCGTTCTGCAGGCCATGCAGCAAGAGTGGCAGGTGGTGCTTGCTTTGGAAGACACCCCTGCTGGAGCAAGCCTTCTTCGGCAACACTGCGGCTTTTGTGCTTTCCAGCACTACAGAGAGGTGATGACAGTGTACGAAAAGAATGCCTGGAAGGTGACCGAAGAAACCACTGCCCTCACCTCGGCCTGGTACCCGCAGCTGGCCTGGTCGGCATCCCTCGAGTCCGTTTTCGGAGATCTTCAAGATGCCACGAAACGGTCTGGCCGCAGTGACTGCGGCTCCCTCCCCAACCTTTTCGCTGTTGGGGTACGGTCCCTGCAGAACCGGCTTACTGTGCAGGATGGCTCCGCCAGTCCTGTCAAGCTGCAGGCAAACGACTGGACGGGAACTCAGGCCCTCGGAGTGAAACCGAAAGCTTTCAACCCTGCCTCTGCACCAGTTTGTTCCTGGGCTGCATCGAGGCTATCAGTGTGTCAAGTCGGTTGAGTATCTTGTCTCGAGCCATCAACCGCCGAGCTTGCCCCAGGCAAGAATGTGATGGTGGACAACATCTTGAAGCCGTTTCCGAGCACGACCGCTTTCTTCCACAACCACCACAGCCTGAACTTCATGTCGGGGCTCTGCAAGGCTCAGCAGCACCCCGCAAGCAGATATAAGCAGCCTAATGCCGAATTTGTTCATGTTTCTTAATGATTGTCCCGACATGTGGGAGCCGAGGCAGGGCAAGAATCCGGCGGTTGAAGCCGGGGGCTTCTGGGTCCAGGCCTGCTTCTCGACTGGCATGCTGTTGAAGTACTCTGGCAAGTTCTACTTGGCCACGGGCAGCACGCCAGCCGTTCTCAACGCATCTGGGATTGACTGTGAGCCTGCACACCTGTTACACTCCAGTAACATGTGCGATATGTCCAATCCAAGGTTGTTCGCTTGAGGGAGCTCCCCTTTGTCTTCAAGGGACCTCTCCCGACGGAGACGAGCGACGAGACACGGGTGCCTTGCCAGAAGGCTGACGACGTGGATGTGCTGCGCCCGACGGAGAGCACACCTGCTCTCGTCTTGGACGTGGGAAGGCGGGGCTCGGACAGGAGTGCTGCAACTGCGAGTGAAAATCAAACACTCAGTGCTGCAGGACCATGGTTCAGCAGCTCCGCTTCGACTACGAGGAGGCCTCTTGGCAGTTGGCACGAAGCGGTGGCCCGAGTAACTCCATTTTTCCGCGAGGTGAAACTCTTTGCCTACACGCTGCACGTCTGCGAGAGCCAGCTCGCAGACAAGTGTGGCTCGGCCGTGTTGCTGAGAAGGGGCTCTCAAGAGTTTTGCTTGCTTTGCTTCTTAGTGCAATCAGAGCTCGTCCTCTCGAGCTCCAGCGCCTCTTTGACGGAGTTGCTGCAGAAGCATGACATCCAGATGCCCAAGAACTCGACGAAGGCTCACAAGGTGAGGCGAATCTTGGCAATGGAAAAGGTCAAAGAGATGTGTGCAGCAAAGACGATCACGAAGCTGCTGGCTTCCCTTGATGAAGCAGATGCAAAGAAGAAGATTCGAGAGAAAGAGAAAGAAAAGAAGGATGATGCTCTGGAGGAGGTGCTTTGTCGTGGGAACAGTTTCAGTCCTTTTCTGATATGGCCTTGAGTGAGAGACCGACAGGAAGACAGAAAGAAAGAAGAGATACAGGGAGCTAGAGAAAACATTTGCTATCATCTGCTGACGAGGCAGAAGAGATCGAATGGGACGAGCTGCAGGAAGATCCTGCTGCACAGGCCTGCAAGGAGCTGCTTGCAAGGCTTGACGAGGAAGAAGAAAAAGAGCTTGAAGAGAAAGATGCAGATGAGGACCATCAGCTGCTAGAGCTTTGTCATTGTCTGTTTACCCCATGACGAGCTGCAGGAGCCCCGGTTGCCGACAGAGCAGCAGCTGCGAGCATCGCGGGCTCTGCTGTCAGTGACAGCGAGCCTGCCGGAGAACCTCGTGCAGATGATGCCCATCCCAGATGGAGCGGCTATGCATCAGACGATCCATACAGATGCTACGCTTCCGCACTTTCAAGGAAAGCTCCTCGGCAACTGCTTCTTCGAAGGGAAGCAGCTCGCCAGCATCCATATAGCCTATCAAGAGTCATGTTGTCAAGCCGCCGCTGAACACACAGTTGCATCCAAGGTCGACACATGCTGCCAGCTACAACCCGTCGGTTCCTGAAGGTGAGCTGAATAAGAGAAAGAGCACTCTTAAAAGTGTGCCGGCTTTGAAAAGGTCGAAGAGCCAGGCTTACTTTATAGTCTGGACATGGTTGTGCAAAGCAACAGGGGGCGGTCAGCCGCCTTTCAAGCGCCAAAGGCGACAGTAGAGGGTTCGGGGATTGATGCCGAAGTCTGAGTACTCAAACAAGATACACATAAGCAAGCTCGAGACGCTGGCATCATGATTTAGCTGTGGCACCACGGCGCAGAAGCGGGGACACTCTGGCAGACGAAAACAACTGAGCGAGCACGATGGCAGCCTGGAAGCACCCAGTTTTAGCAAGCATGCATAGTGAAACCCTTGAAATAAGAACCTACAAAAAAGGTGGGTTTTGGGTTCTTAAGGTAAAACCTTACTGTTTGGGTACTCGTACCCTCTGGGCATACATACCCAAACCCTTGGTCCTCGCTCTGCAACCCTGAACTGATAACTCAAACCGCAAAACCTTCACAGTTCAGGATTTGCCCTAAACGCTAAACCCTAATCCCTAATTAGGGTTTGGGGTTTAGGGTGAAGGACGCCTAAAGTAGCCTAAACACCCAACGCCCTAAAGCCTGAACCCGAAAGTGCTACAAGGTCGACATGTCTCTGATGTGTTCATCATGTCCCGCACGACTCTCTTGGCCACGGCCTTCATGCGGCACACGCGGAGCCATTGCCCTAAACTAAACCACGACTTAGAATAGGGCTTTGGGGCCCCATTATACTACAGTTATAACAAAGAACCCCAAACCCTAAACCCTAAACCCTAAACCCCCAGAGTAGTATTGGTAATCATTTAGGTTCCTACATTAGATGCTGTAAACTTTACCGGGCTTCAGACGCTAACCTCCAACATCCTGCTTACAAAGCCCATCCTGTGCAGCTCATATAACCCCGGGAAGCAGCTAGGGTTCAGGCTTAGGATGTAGGGTATAACTTAGGGGGTGTATAGCATGCTGTTCGTTTCCGTGGGAGCTGAGAATGTTCGGCGTTAAATATTCTAGTCTTGATGGCTTGAGGGCCTTGTTCAAAAGGTTCTTAACTACAAGTGTTCTGCTTACTTGCAACCCAACATACACTCTACGTACCATGAGATTTCCTTTGGGATTACTTCGTAAAGCATGTATATAGGCAGGGTCCAGAAATCAGCCTGTCTCCTTCGCAATGGGTCCAACTACCGAGTAAGAATCATAGATTTCCCTCAGTGCTAGCCTACAAGTACTAGTACCCAAAAGTACAAAACCCTCGATTGGAACGTCTGGGTGTTCAGTAGCCCCGATCAGGAGCCCCACCTGTCCCTCGGCATTGGAATTCGCATTGAGAATGTCCATCACATACGGACGGAAGTTGTGGTAGCTGTACCTGACAACTTGCTAGAGCTAAGGGGTTGAGAATGCTCAGTGGGCACACCCAAACTGACCTTAGGGGTTTAAGGTTGAAGTTTCATGAGCTCCAGAATACTTTAACTTTCTGTTCTATAGTGGAAAACTCATTCAGCCACTAATCAAGTAATTCGACATCACAACATGGCGTAATTGCCCAGTGTCCTACAGGAGCTGAAAATAAATCTTCGGGGGCAGGTCAGACTATAGTACTCCCAAAAGGTTACAGCAGCAATTGTTGCTTAGTCTGAGCATCTCCGCTGCATCCAAGGCACGTGACTTCGCGCATTTGATGGAGTGTGCACAAACTTGAAAGCACCTGTCGACATGGGACCGGGAGTACGGAATCCCATCAGCACAATGAAGACGCCTCAAAAACTGGGTATATAGTATATTCATACAAAGGAACCCTACGGACTATAGTCGGTAGCTATTTAAGCCCCATAGTATGCACAGCCTCCATGCCTTGAACATTAAAGCCCTGCGATTCCTATACCTCAAACCCTAGCATCCAAAGCCCCGGAACCCCAATCCATAAACCCTTAAACCATCAAAGCCCAAACCCTGAACCGCAAAATTCCCGAAACCTAAACCCTGAACCCC